AGGTAAGTCGACATAAAATACGCCACTTCAGCTACGCTATTCACGTAGCTGAAGTTGCATATCTTAGGTCGACACCCCCCCCCCCCCCCCCCGTACGTGTAGACCAAGCCTTAGTTCTGCTGTTCCCCATTTTAAGTGTACAGCACTGCGCTGGAACAAGTCCAACAGAAACTCTGGGAGCCTCTTCCCCCTTGTTGTTTTCTTCTATATCAGCATTTACCAGAACCACTGGCTGGCTTCACAACTGCAGACCCTTTTTTCACTGTTTGCTCTTTGTCAGAAACATTCAGCAAACAAGCAGGGATCAGTTCTTGTTTCAGCTCCACAAGAGCTTTAGCAACTAAATTTATGTCTACACTGCAACTAAAAACCCACAGTTGGCCTGTGCCAGCTGACTTGGGCTCACGCTAAGGGGCCATTTAATTGAGATGTAGATGTTCCAGCTTGGGCTGCAGCCTGAGCTCTGGGACCCTCCCACCTCTCAGATCCTAAAGCCCAGGCTCTAGCCCAAGCCTGAACATCTACACCACAATTAAACAGCCCCTTAACCCAAGCTCCACAACCCTGAGTGAGCTGGCACGGGCGAGCTGTGGGTTTTTAACTGCAGTGTAGACATATTCTCAGATTCCCCCAAGACCCTGGATCTCAGCACAGATTCCAAATACTCCCCATCTTTCTGTTGCTGGAAACCTTCCATAGCATGTAGCTGTTATAATGATTTCTGCCCCCAGAGGAAGGGCAGTTCATTCACTGTAAACCAATTACCTATAAACCATTTGTCTCACCCGGGCCATATCTTTAAAGGCAATTTCCATAGACTGAATTTGTAAGACACCTTTCCTGGCACTGATTACACATTATTAGCCATAATGAAATCTAAGCCAATTATTAGCTCATCCACTATTTCATCCACCCAGACCTCTTGCTCGAATTTTGAAAGTCCAGTTTTCCCCGTTTTTGGACATGTGGCCTTGCCCTAGTCACTACCTCCGTTTCAGACCAATTAGGCAGGTCAGTTTGGGATCCCCTATTCCCTAACCTTTTTAGCAAGTCTGGTCTAATAACTGTTATATATGAGTTCATGTCAATTATCCCTATACACAGCACAGGTCCTATTACACACATAATAGCCAAACTCCCGTTATTGTTGTTTAACTGCCCAGATTTAAACATAAGCTGTGGGGCTCATCTTTGTACCCCCAAGCTTTGCCCCCTCAGTCTGATGTCCCTCCATTTCCCTAACTGGGAGAGAGGCTTTCACTAGGCACTTGCTACAGTGCATCTTGGCCTGCCTCAAATTTATAACAATCCTTCTTTTTGTGGTGAATGTTGTCACAGTACCAG